ACCCGATATGGCTCCCTGCGATTTTTTTCTGTTCGATCGAGTCAAAAAACCACTACTAAGAAGTAATGAAAAAATCGAAGACGGCTCTGATGGCTATACCGACAATAAAGTTCCAGAAATGTTTCGAGAGCTGGATCAAGCGCTGGGATAAGTGCGTTGCAGTCGATGGGGAGTATTTTGAAGGGGACAATATCACTTTTGATGAATAAACTTGTATTTTGAATTTTCTGAATGAATTCCGGGAACTTTTTGATCAAAGATACAAACGTTTCGATACCGATCGAGTCATTTTCAATGTGAACACAAAACCATTACAAATCTCAGAGTATTCGGTAACATTATAATATCCAATAAAACGTTGATAATTTTATTTTCCCTATTATCGTGCTGTCCATATTTAGCATCACTTGACAGATGTAAAAGTGAACTCATCTCACTTCTTCTCTACAATCTTACAAATAATTCGAAATAATGACCTGGCATAGCGTTACGGTTTAAAAGTGTTGTATTTTATAATTATATTTATATATACCTTAATTTATCGTGATGATGTGCGTCAAACGCCGAGAAAAAAACACAGAATTAACCAAGTTACGTATAAAACAAGCAATGATACATTGGAAAAACACAAGTATCCCTTAAGCCGTAATCACACACATTGAAACATTGAAACATTGAAACGAAGAGAAGACGGAATTATTAAATATCTTACAGTATAATTGGCTCGTAGCCCTTCTTTTATTTATACATTTATTAAAGTATATTTTATTATATTTATGTGCACTAATCACCACGTAAACTCCTGCTTCATTCTCGTTTTTAATCTGTTACATATTAACAAGGTCATGATCCTAAGTAACCTCCAACAAGTTTGACCCGTCGATCATTATCCATTAAAAAGTTAATAAAAAAGTTTAATAAATCCGTATAACAAATTAAACTAACAAAGACTCCTTATAAATCAAAAGAAATTAGAAAGAATAAGGGCAATAGGAGTCAGGCGCAGAAGACGTCGCGCAAGTAATATACCCATAAAGCGTAAAACTTCTTTATTCTACTAAACGCGCTTACATGTTTCGGCTCACTTTTGAGCCTTCTTTAGAGACAACACAAATTAACATATATAAACTGTGAATAAAAGTTATGGTGAGCTTCCCTACATCGAGAATATAAATGCCAGAAATTAAACCCAAATAAGAATGAAAGAAAAAGAAATAAGAAAGAAAATATTAGAAATATCGAAATAGAGAATATGAAAAACTAATTTATCAAAAAACTTTAAGATTATAATTAATTATCCCGAAAATAAGGACGCTCACCGTGATCACAAAGCACCATATCGCAAACATTACTATTAATAATTAAAAAACCGGTTCTTGATATGTTGGCCAGTCAGTATCAAACAAAGTGAGTCACTTTTAGATTTAGCTTTTTAGAATATTTTTCGAGATTACAAATGGGAAAATCTAACGTTAAAACGTTAATCAATTCCAAGAAAATGAAAGTTGGAAAGTAATCAAAAATCACGCCAGAAGTACTCATTACTGTGTACGAGCGACATTGACTGACTAGGCGCGACAACAACTCGACCTTTTATAGCTTGTCTATAATCGGAAGATAGGCCCCTCCATATCCGTCTGCAAGTTGAGTCCGTGCGTCTGTCTCTTGATGAATATCATCTCCGAAATCCTCTTCCTGTAGTATGGTTCCTCGTCCAATATTGTAACGTTGTCCCAATCGAAATCGTGGCCTTCTTGTAACCGATGTTCCGTTATAACATTACGGGTGGACGTATTCCAAAGTTTAATAAATAACGTCCTATTTCTACTACATACAATGTTAAGAATTATTTTAAACCTCCTCTCCTTACATAATGACTTTCTACACGAAAGGAGATTCACCCCACCCACCCACCCCCTGCCCACAGGCATCTGACTTTTCACGTGAAGCGAGATCCGTCCCACCTTCTCTCATGATTAGAGGCGCATGACTTTCCACAGGAAGTGATGTCCACTCCAAACCTAAATATGTTTTGGATTTGATTATTTTTTTTGGACCTTACTTCATGTGGAAAATCGTGCGCCCCTAGACAGGAAGGGGAGCCAAATTGACTCGAGCGGCGCGCTTACCAGACCATTCCCATTTCCCGCGAACGATCGATGCGTGTACATTTGATAATAGTAGGCCGGGAGGGCGTGCGTATTCCGCTATCTTTAAAAATTAATATCTCATTAAGGGGATGCTGGAGCTGCCTGTATTACCGACTGTATTATTAACTAGCACATTTTTGACATTTTTGTTCCTGCCGAATTTATACTTATAGTTTTACAAAATAAAAATTCCTTTTCTACGATTAAAATGTACATGCTAATATATTTGTCACTGGTGTATTAGAAGAAATTCGACAGGAACAAAAACGTCAAAAACGCTAATTTTATCGTTTATAAATTAATTTATAATAATAGGCGTTTATTATAATAGACGGTTCCAGCATCCCCTTAAGAGGATCCTAAAGCCATCTGTATTACCGACTTAAACGCAATAATTTTGGTATAACAATTACTTTTTTCCTCGTTTATAAATTTGAAAATCATTTTCCAGGATTAAACTATATGCACTAATACGTGTCTGTGAGGAATTTATGTCGAGAACGAAAAAAATTATTTAAATTGAGATCTTTACCATTTCTTAGTCCAATATAGCGTTAGAGCTATCAATATCGTAACAACATTTGCTTGATATAAAAGCTTTGCAATCTGTACTTACGAAATTGTGATACAATTGATAATTTGTTTCAGAGTATCCTACAGCAGTGACGGCTGAAATAGTCGATGTTAACATGAACTCGTTGGACGGCACGACGGGAAAGCCATTAGACGTTGATTTGCCACCAACTCTGCCGATGATCTTCGGTACGGAAAATTCAACATCGGTTTCAGCGCAATCAGGATCCACAGCCCTAATGCCCTGCGTTGTCCACAATCTAGGAGAGGGCACGGTAAGATTTGTTGAAATATATAATTCATTGATTGACGCATGCGAATTTTATGTATAAATAGACGGGACATAGATACAATACTCTATTTATTTATTTATTATTCTGAAAGTGTCAATGAAATAAAATTTATCATATTGTATATACATACATAAAGAACTTTTTTAACACAGTTTTTAAAAATTGAAAAATTTTATTCGATTATTTAATACAATATCCCGGTAGAAGATTTTTCATACGTATTTAATTATATATGCAGTATATGAATGGTTATATACAATTATACAAAACTATATATGAAATATATATATATACATATATACATATACATATAACGCCTTGCTCGGCGTCGAATGATTCCGAATTGCCTTTATACTGGACTTAGGCAGTTTATCAGTTGTCTCCATCTCGTACATCGCATCGGTCGGCCAGTTCCTTCAAGTCCCAAAGCTCATTGATGCGTCTGCTATGGATTCCCAACGAATTCACCTCCTCCAAGGTAAATCGGCGCCAGTTTTTTTACGGGCATCTTCTTTTCTTCCTCTGCGGATTGTACAAGGGCGCGGTGTAGACTTTGCTCTGATGATTCTTTCTTAATGTGTGTCTAATTGTAAGCCAACTAAATTTTTTCCTCCCTATCTCCATGTTGTATCTCGTTGTTTAGTGCAGACCCACAATGTTTCATTGTTGATAATGTTCGGCCAGAAGATACGAAGGATCCCCCGAAAACAGCAGTTGACAAACACCTGGATTCTTTGCTTGATTGCATCTGTAACAAGTCAGATCTCACATCCGTATAAAAGCACAGAGATTGCGTACGATCTAATGATATGTAACTTGGTCTTGATGCTGTAGGTGGCAGAGCGCTATATCTTGCTCAGTTGTACAGAAACACTAGTCTTCTTGATTCTAATTTCCACATCTTTAGCAGCATCGCTATCTTCGGTAACTACATATACTTCCCAAGTATAGAAACTCGTCTATTCGCTTAATTGGCAGTTCACTGAGCTTTAATGGCCGGCTGGAGTCTGCATTGATTCGCATAATAAACTCATTCCCTTGGTCTTTGCGACGTTGATTTTGAGATAGACGACTCCATTGCCAAATCGTCCAGTTTTTGTTGTTGTCATGCCGTTGATGTTGTGTGACAGCTCACATTTGTCGTCCGCATAATCTAAAGATTCCAGTCGCCTATTTAGTCTATCTGAGGGGCTTCCATACGATTCCTCTCGGCTTGTTTTCCATCGCATGCCTCGCTACCGCATCCATGACGATCAGAAACAGCAATGAGGAAAACAAGCAGCCAGAAATGATCTCAAATGGTTCTGACAGTCCTCCCTCATATAGGACGTGACACTGAAATTCCTCATTACTTTTTTGTACAAGGAAGCATGCCTTTTACTCAACTCTGCCCAAATGCATTCGCAGTTGATGGAATTGAATGTCTTCTCATAGTCGACGAATAGGAGATATCTACGAATGGAGAACATTTCGACAGACTATTTCTGAGCATATTGATTTAGTCGATGCAGAATCTGCCAGCTCTAAAACCTACTTGTTCCTGTGTGTTCTGAGCTTCCCGTCCATAAGCTTGATCATTTGCGCCAGAATCACCTCCATGAAAATTTCCATAGTAACGCATAAGATGTTGATGCCACGCCAATTGTTACAATCAACGTTCAAACAACGTTCGCGAAATGAAGAAATCATGGGGTCCACTGGACATAGTTTTGTATTTTTGTAATATAGATAAAATAATGTAATGTGTTATAATTACTTTTTTGTATGTGGCATATCATCCACATGATGGCATTTTTTAACACTATCATATTTCTTTATTTTTAATAGTAAAAATATTTGTATGAAAATATTTATCAGCTATCATACACAAGTAATACATAAAAGATGGAAGAAGAAGGTTGGTATATAGAAGTACTCTAAACTAAACAAATAATTATACAAAAATCTAATTTCTCTTGAGGGGATCCTAAAGCCGTTTATATTACCGACTAATCATAATTTTTGTTTAACAATTACTTTTTCCTCTTTTACAGATTCGAAAATCCTTTTTCCAGGATTAAAGTATATACGCATTGATACGTCTCTGTGAAATTTATGCCGAGAACGACAAAAAATTTTTCTTAAGATTTCAATTTCGAAATTTTTTGTCGTTCTCGGAATAAATTTCATCTCACAGACACGTATTAATGTGTATACTTTAATCCTGGAAAAAGGATTTTCGAATCCTGTAAAAGAGGAAAAAAGTAATTGTTATAAAAAAAAGACGACTTTAATTTTGAAAAATCTTTTTTATTAGGCTTTCAATCACAATTTCGCAAACTCAGGATTGTTTGTGCATGTCATACGCTTCTGGGGAAGGTATCATTTGGTACGTATAACCTACAAAATTTCTGCACTAAGGGAATTATAACCTGAGGTGATAGCTGTGAGAGCTGAAATAAAGTAAATTTTTAATTTTTTCTCCGATTTTCTCATCAAATTTAGTGTGATTGGTGTGTTTTTTTTTGTGCGTATTTTTATTGTGTAAAAGGATTTGGTGATCTATAAAGTCAATTCGGAGAAATTGACAATCTGCAATTGTCGGCAATTTCTGTTGGTTTAGGATCCCCTTAAATGTGGCATAATCCTCTCACTTATCTTATATTAAATTTATTTGTTTAACGTATTTCGTATACGTTAGATACGACTTTCTATTTAAATCGACTCGCTTATTTGGAAAGTTGTATAAATTCAGTTTTGAAACATCATGCATTTCAATGAGATGTGAATATGAACCGAAATGCGACACGCTGATCACAGTCGGATTTTCGGAATTGAAGTTATACCATCTTCAAAATGGATTGGTATTCGAAATGTCACGTCGATGTGCCCGTGTGTTTTTCGTTAAAAAACATGTTGATATCTGCGACATAACGAGATTTTGTACGAGAATAGAATAACCCAAACACATTTAGAAAAGTTTAACGCGGCATGTGCACCGTTGCTTTGTAAAATTCCGTGGTTTAATCTCGCTTTAGAAGAACGTAATTCATGGCAAGAGAATAAATGCAGCTTACAAGTTGAAGCGCTGTTTAATTAATCCGATATCTTTACAACTGCTTTCAAGGTTTTTTACGCTCGCCATCGCGACTTTACAATGTACTTATGTAGCAGCCATGCAAGAATTTTTTTACCAGTTGGTACAATGTTGTTATCAGATTTGTTTTCTTTGTTTACATGATAATTTTGCTCGCGCGCGTATCAACGCGAAGTTTTTCTTAAGAAGAGCGGAGATGTTTAGAATAGAATATTTCCGCGCGTGAAGAATGCACGAATAATCGGGAAGTCTGTTAAAACACCAAAGACGTCGTCGTTGTTCCAACGGGTGGGTGTTAGCACAGCCTCATAACTTAATACAACTGGCATTTGCCCGCAATGTTGCGTTGATTTAACATGCGACGCAAACACGAAGCAATACAATCAAATAGAGTTTAATGAACCATTTAATGAACCTATTGCTCGTTCAACTTCATTTACCACTATACGTGCGCATCATAGTTGAATAACATGATGTAGGATATTAATTATTAGCTATATGTAAAACAGTTGACAATTTATCAATTCATAAAAAAATAAAATGTTACAACACATAGTTCACTATTCAAAAAGTATCCGCTCATAAATAACTATTGTTTCATTTTATTATCGCAAATTTATTATCATTTTGCATATATTTTATTTGCATATATAAAATAGGCATTTCAAAATATATCCTACTCAACAAAATTAAAAGATCACCTGTTCCATCCTGAAAAAATAGGCAAATTTTTTAAGATAGAACATTGTCAAAAATTATCATATCGAGATGTTTAAAAAGTATTTTACAGCTTGAAATCTATACTTTTCAGATTGGTAAAAATTCACTTTTTCGAACGCTAGAAATCGCATTTGTGTACAATTTTTAATTCATGCCGTGAAACTTCGCAAATTTTGTAAAGAATTTTGAGATTTGATGCATCTTCATTTATGTTTGTATAATTCCATAAAACATCAATAATAGCGTTTTCTAAAATACCGATCTGAAAAGTAGAGATATCAAGCTTATAAAATGCTTTTACAAATATCTCGATGCAATGATTTTTGACGAAGTTCTTCTATCTTAAAGTTTGTCTTTTTTTTGCAGAGTGGAACAAATGATCCTTTAATTTTATTGAGTAGTGTATAATCATAATTTTAAATATTAATACATTTAGGTAAAAAGACATAGTACCAGCGACTATATATAAAGCAGCTATTTAAGTTTTATAATATATAGAATTAATGTGACAGTTATCTAAGTTTTATATGTAGAATTAATGTGTACATAGTTGATTAAACTAATATTTTATAGTTATTGCAACTATCAAATAGTTTACTCAAAAAACTATGCAATTCTACTTATTAAACTTGTGTCATCTTTAGCGAAATTCCAAACCGTCATATCGCATTAACATAACGAAAAAATTTAAAGCATCATTTAATTAATTTATTATTTATGATACTTTGATCGTTATTATTCGCGTATGATCGTATGTATTCGCGGTGATATGTAAATAACGATGCTGTTACACGAATAATGTGAAGAATAATATATCTTCTTCTACCCTTTTCGAGAAGATAGTGAAGTGAAGTTCTTTGGAGCTCAAATATATACGTTAAGAGGATACCTAAAAAAAACATTATTAGAGTATTTCATAAATAAAGTAAAGACAAATAACGTCAGAATTGTGTTTACTTACTATTAAAATTTCTGATGTGAAAGAAGTAAATTTGAGCAGCATTTATTACAAAATGAAATTAAGCAGGGTTGGGGACGTGTATTTGAAAAATTTTTATTTAAAACTCCTTATTTACAATATGAGTACATTTACATTTCAGCAGAGCACATGAAAGTATTTTGTATTTAAAATCAAAAGGTTAAAAATTGTTTTGTAATTCAAATAAGATTGATTGTTAATCTCTCT